AAAAACGGCCATTTAATGCCGCTTGTTAAATAAACAAAAACTCCCCAAACTCCCCAGCCATAAATTTTTCTGAACAAACAATTAATTCGGCAAAATTGTCGACCCTTCAACTTGGTTTTGCTCCAAAATAAAACAGTATACACGCAACATTGCCAATAATTCACAGACAGAACTCAATATTTTTAAAAATCATCAATATTTGGCCCTGTTGAATACTTTTTAAGTTTCACACTGTTGCATTCGGCACTGTTGAACGCCTCTTTTTCATTCTACCCATGAACTTTTCCCGGATGAATGAACCTCTTCTTAGTCATTTATTCCCGCGCAGATGACTGTTTTTCTGACAATCTGTTGAGGACTTGCCTTCAAGTACAAGTTTTCTTCAGCGAACACTGTAAATGTCTCTCCCCCAATTGTCGAAAAGTAGTTTTACATTTTTTGAGAAATTCCTTGAGTGCCAGATCATTGATTTTTTTGTAACGATCACGTTGTAAAAGGAAACGTTTTTCTTCCCCTTTGCTCCTAGTCAGGGGCGGATATAGGATTTTCTCGAGGGGGGGGCAGTTTTTCAAAAAAACTTCCAAAATTTTGACGACCTTTTTTTTTTTAGGTTGAACAAATTGATTTTTCGAGCTCTCCCAAAGCACTGTTTTGCCCCTATTTTGGCAAAATTTTGTGCGCCGCAGGCAAATTTTTGAAAAAACAGTCAAAAAAGCCGTTTTTGGGCACTTCTTGAAAAATTTTGACAAAAAAATCGCGTTTTTTTTTGGCGCGCGCTCCCCCTCAAAGTTAGTATATTGGCTCCGACGCCTTTAGAAAAATTTTAGAGTCGGTCGGCCAAAAATGGATTTCTGAAAAAGTATCAAAGGGGGGAACCTTTGGGTCGGCACTTTGTACGTCTTCATGCGCATTTTGAAGTTTTTAAACAAAATACTGAAAGCGGAACGCAAAACGAAAAAACGTTACCAATTGAATTGAGGCTAGTCAGTCAATCGTATCAATTTTTTACGACTCAATTTTTTTCAGTTGACATTTGATATTGTCCACCCTTTTATTTATTAATTTTTTTTTCCTGAAAAAGACTATTCGATATAATTTATGGAACAGTCAGATCATTCAAGGCTTTGCCCTGATAAAAGAAATAGTCTTTAAGTTGAGCAATTTACATTTTTCTTTTGTGCTCAAAATCTTTTTTTTTCTCTTGACAATGGGAATTTCATTCTTTTTTGGTATTTTTTTGTTTGGTAGTGATATCAATGATAATGTATCGCATTTTGATAGGTAACCTTGTAACTATTTTTCTATTATTCGCAATGAAAACAAGTTAATTGCATCTTCTCATCATTCAGCAAAAAACTCGACTGATTTTGCGGAAAAAAGTGCAAATAGTTTTGTAAAAGTATTTTCATAGGCGAATCAATGCATAATTTTGAATTCATTTTTAATTAATGCCGACTTCCTGCTATAGTTCTGCTATTTTTTTTATTTTAAAATTTTTTAAAATTTTTTTTTCCAAAGAAGCACTAAATACAGCCTCCAAAACTAGTTTTCTTTTTAATTCAATCAAACTTTTGTAGCCCAAATGGCTTTTTTATATATAACGATTGTTACTCAAAAGTTGACAAAAACTCGAAAAGTTTGCGCCAGTTTTTCTCAACAATAGAAAAATGTTAAAGTTTTTTGTCTGTCTTTGAATTACGCTTAGAAGAGTTTCGGTGCCTGATTTTGCGTGGAAAACAAAAAGTTAAGAAAAACTTAAACATATCCGAAAACAAAGTTCCTCCCCCTTTTCAGTAGTTGGAAAAAACTAAAGTTTGAAATGCTTTTATATTAATTTTATTATTTTGCTTCAATTCAATTTGGAACGGTAACAAAAAGGCCAAAAGAAGGCATCTCCGCACTTGCCATACAACGCAAAGTTGAAAACAAAACTGCCAGCCCCAAAATATTCCTATCTCATTACAAAGTTTAACTAGAATCCCAGCTAAAACTGGAGGTACGTATTTGATATATATTTTTAAAAATGTTATCCTGATGAGTATAAAATGTTTATTATTGAAAAAAGTAGTTCGCCCAAAAACTTAATTATTTTTCTACTAAAATAAGTGAGAAGAGTGAAAACTTATGATATATTGGAACTTTCCCAAAGACGTAACACTTCTTTTACAAAAAATTATAAAGTCGCCACTTCTGTTTGGAAATTTTCACAACCGGTTTTTTCGATTGAATTCTTCATCTCAGATTTGTTAAGATAGTATTTAAGAAAGTCAAAAAAAACCTCCAAAGTTTCAAAACATTAACTTTCTGTAAATCATAACTTTTTTCCGTTGAAAATATGTCAAAAATGCTTCAGCAGATTTTATTCCCAAAGTTAAGGCTTCTCGATCAACCACTTGACCTGAGAATGGGCAGGTTAGTTTTTCAAAAATTCCAAAAGTGCCAGAAAAACGACAAATCTTCAAATAATATCAGGTTTTTAAATAATCTGTTGTTTCAATTGAACCCTTCATACCCGACTTGGCAGGACCTTTCCTAGAATCATACTTTTTGTTCTAATAAGTTTGGGCGTAGCCGCTTACGCAGCAAGATGGTCAACAATCAAAAAATTGGACTTTTCCAAGGGCAATAACGTTTGCGTAAGAAAGTTTGTGAATAGTCGCAAATACAGGGGAGCTTCCCAATACCCGTCATTTTAATTGGACCCAGAACCTCAGATAATTTGAGGGTACGTTTTGGGAAAATGAAAACAAAAGTCGAAAATAAGTGTCAAATACTTCCTGATACAGGTTTTTTGGAAAGCTGTCGACAGAGGGGTAAAATAAAAAAAGATTAGGGGAGTATGCAAGCACGCAGGTGGCTTTTCCATTGATACCCAATTTTCAAGATCGATAAAATAGTCTGAAAGAAGAACTAAACATTTTGCACAAAAAAAAATTCCAAAGCGTCTCAAATCAAATATATATTTGATTTGAGACGCATTGGAATTTTTTTTGCTAAATGTTTAGTTCTTCTTTCACACTATTTTACCGATCTTGAAAATTGGGTATCAATGGAAAAACCACCTGCGTGCTTGCATACTCCCCTAGTCTTTTTTTATTTTACCCCTCTGTCGACAGCTTTCCACTCTGGACCTTAAAGTGAAAAATTGAAAGCAATTTGAATCGACTTTTGCTTAGTACCAAGCACACTCTCTCAGCACTCCACCTATCCCGGATCGACCCGCTCGATCCTCCGTTTTTTTGTAAAATTTGTCTGAATCTACAAAAAGTGTCCCAAGCATTTATTGCTCACTTTCTTTGATAGTCGGGAAACAAACCAAAAATTTGTGTAATAAAAAAACTACAAAAGAAGAATCGTCTGGATTGTGGTGGGTTACAATTTTGAGAGAGTCGCATTCCTTCCTTCTACATGCAATATTGACTTTCAAAAAAATTTGAGAAAAATCCTTTTTCAATTGATAGTCTGTTTTTCATGAGAACTCAGGGTAGATCTTGAATCTAAAGTGGGAAATAAATGATTTTTAATATAATTTATTACAGTTTTGTAACAGAAGCAAATAGAACGTGAAAAGTACTTTTTTGTATTTCGACAATACTGAAGTGATTCTTTTAGATTGGCTTCGGTGCGTTTTAACAGAAGGCTGCTTTTTTGTGGGTGTTTTTTTACGGCAAACTTTTCAGGGAGGTCAATTTTGATATTTAAAAAAGAAACAAAATTTTTTTATGTGAATTTAATTGAGGTCTTTATTCAAATCGTAGTGAACCCATTTTTTTACAATTTGAGATAATAATAAATGCGTGCTGTGTTTTTTTCAACATGTACCGCAAGCTGTGAACTAGCCAGGGTTGCAAAGTAATTTCGGTTTTTGCAAGCTGATTGATTCAATATTGCAAATACGCGCGAAAAATGTTGAAACACTTTCATCAGACAAATTAAATAAAAGTCAATCGCCAAATTTTCGCGGTGATTTGAGAAAATTTGATACATTTAGTTGTACGGATCCCGGGTTGACCAAAACTTCTCATCATACAATTTTCATATATGAGAAACTTCTTGTCATACAATTCCATACGTACAGAAAATTGTATGAAAACTCTATGATAAGCTTTTTTCCATATATGAAAATTGTATGATAGGTATTTTCCCATAAACCAAGAATTTTGATTTTTTCTTTGTGAATTTAGTTTCTGAAAAATTATCCGTTGTGTTTGCAACCACACACAAGTCACAAAGACCTTGGTTACTCAAAACACTAAAGGTTGGACGGTCTTGCATTTACAATGCATAGAAAACGACCTGAATTTGGCTGTCTTTCACAATTCATATAACAAAAGTAACAAACTTTTATTTTTTGGCAAAATTTTTTAATGATGATTATTTCAATTTTTTGAATTTTCAAATTATCAGACATTGATCAAGGCATACATTAACACCCATACAAAAGAAATAGGAATTTTCAGCGTTTTCAAAAAGAAAAATTTAAGTGAAAAGAAAATAAAAGCCAATTTTATCGTATCCAGGACTACGTTATGCACACAAAATATTAAATTTTGCATGCAAAGAATTTTTCGAAAAATGTTTGTTTGAGTACGAAATTCGATTTGCGGTTGAAAAAAAAACAAAAATGTTTTTGGGACAAATTTTCAAAATTACTTTGTGTCGCCATCAAAAAATGCCAGTCATACAAATTCCATATATGGGAATTGTATGATAAGCATTTTTTTCAAAAAACGAAAACCTCAGTTTTTTATCACCAGACTGTTTTATTAGAATCAAACAGCCAAAGAAATAAGTTTATACCAAATTTCAACCATTTTTAGAAATTGTATGAAAATTGTATGACAAGCATTTTTCCACACACTTGATGCATGGAATTGTATGATAAGCATTTTCGGTGTATGGAGGTCAACCCGGGATTTCATAGGCTCAATGTAACATTCAACTTACGTATTCCTCGTTTCTTTCACTGAATTTGGAATCCATAAAATTAGAAAACAAAGTTTGTGCTTAGAATATATTGGTTCGTTTGACAGTTATTTATAATCACAAAAATGTTGTTAATTGGCAATTCTCAAAGTTGTTTTAGTAAAATAAATTCAATTGAAAAAAGAAACAGATGAAGGAGTTTGTGGAAAGCGGTTTGGTTTGTTGGTTCTTTTTTGCTTGTTGATTGATGTAGCGAGAGTTAATTGTAACCAATATGCCAGTGAAGTTTGAGTCATCTTTCTCTTTATTTCACTGAAACAACAAAATATCAAAGAAGGAACTATCAAATATTAAACACAAAATTGGAACGTTGCATTTATGAGAAACAGTAGCCGGTGGTTTCATGTTATATTAGGTAATGTGAGAAGCTCGACCCAAAAAGGTTCCTTCTTTAATGAAAATCTTTCTGTGACTTGTTTTGTGAACTTAAGTGAAAACAAATTGAGGGTAAAACGCAAGCCAAAAATGTTGCATTTTGGGGAAAGCGTGCCAAAAATTTTTTAAGTATACCGAGTCGCTAAGCCCAAAACAAAATTTCATCACTCTTTTCATTGTCTCGGAAAGTTATTTTTGTCGGACTAAAAGAGCGGCAAATCTGTTTAAATTTTTTGAAAACTCCTGTCGCTAAAGAATCCGCCCCTGTGTGCCATCAAATCAAATCCTTTTTTCGATTATAGTTCTTAACCCGAAAAGTTATTTCAAAGAAGTTTGTCGAGAATAATCAACCGAGTGAATTTACCGCCAAGCAGACTTGACAAACAATCATGTTTGCAATAAGAACAAGACTTCTCGTATCAGGGCGAAGCCCTGAATGTTCCGACTGCCTTTTAAGGTTTATGGAGCATCAGTAATGATATAAAAAATTAAATGAAATAAAATAAAATGAAATTTTTTTTTCTAAAATTTGAATTTTTTTAAATGAAAATCATCCCCCCACACGCCATATAAAGTACAAAAAGATAGATTTCGTTCCTTGTAACAAATCAATTATGGCAAATAAGCTTCGTTCAACCAATTTGGAACTATTTATAAGACGGATTAAATCTCCGCTTACGCGTTAATAGCGCGAATTATATCGCGCGTTAATTGTCCCAAATTGGTCAAAAGGGCCAAAATGGCAATCTTTAAACATTACGAAAAATGATCACAGGTGAAATATCTTTTCAAATTTAAGCTCAGGACAACAATGGCTTTCGAATGATATAAAAAAATGGCTAGTTAAAAAGTCGAAATTTGTCTGAAGAAAAAAAAACCCACCCCGAGCACAAATATTCCGTTACTTTCGTATCGAAAGTCGGAACAATAATCAGATTTGATACCCAGTTCACTTGAAGTGTACAGGAAACGCACTTCCAATCTGATGATAGTTCTTAGTTCATTTTAGCTAGTATTATGTTAATATCTGTTAAATGAATTCTGTTTCACTGGCCAAAAATGATCGAAAAACAAAACCATTGTATTTAAGAACCAAATCATAAAACTCCGTAACTTTCTTTGAAAGCCATTTAGGTTCAAAGACATCATCAGCAAGCACGAGGAAGCCACTACATCAATGCAGCTCAAGCAACCCGAGCAGACCACCCATTCACATACTGCCAAGGCCAGACGCGGCACCTGTATCTTCATCGACCGAGAATTCAGACTCAGTGAACAAATGCGGAACTTTAGCAAGGCTAGACAGACAGCGTACAAGTACAAGAGAAGACTATGAAACTATATGCATCATTGACGAACGTTTCGAAGAAGAAGCCTCCGGCTCTAGCAAGCATATCTCAAGCGGCGGAATTATCTATTGAACTTTGTCCTCAAAAAGCTCTCCAGAACATGAAGCGCAGGAGGTACCGAGAGTAGAGCCCAATCCACCCAATCAGACGACCAGCGACTGCCCAATAATTTCAGTGCCCAAATTAGCAGAGAATATTCAAGCCATCAACCAAACCGTAGTAACAGACTGCCCAATAGAAGAGAAGAAGATAACTTCATGGGCGAACGAAAAGGAACCAAAAATAACCAGCTCGAAAGAGTAGAGGCGGAACCGAAGCACAGAGATAACACTGGTGCTACCATAACACTGGTGCTACCGGACAAAACGGGGATTCCAGCCAGTACAAGGACAAAACGAGCCAGTATTCCAAAACAAGGGACAAAAAAACGGGCAAAACAGAGCGGGGAGAACAACTCGAATAGGTCTTCAGGATGGAAGAAGAGGCAAATTGTACTTTTCGGTAGCCCTCTAAAACACTGTGAAAAAATGGGAAGAAAAATCAGGGGAACAAAAACTACAGACAGTACCAGTATCACTGGGGATACTCCATCTTCTTCAGGAAATACGCCATCACCGTCGCCAAGAAGGAAACTGGAGAGATCAAAAATTGCAATCTATAAGCCAGAACAGTTCCAGGGGAAAAAACTAATTAAAAGTCTTAAACTTTTAAACTTTCTTTATTGTGCAACTAATTCCATACTGCGTATGAAATTTTCCTTCAGGGGGAAATGTGGTGGTAGTGAGTTGTCCACCAAGTATCTTAAGATCAAGCGGTTAAATCTTATTTTTAACGTTCATTTGTTCTCTGTAAAATAGCCACCTGCCAATCGCCTAAGCAAACGTCAGTTTAAGCGGTGCTAAAGCTAACCCACTCTTTGTCAACTATTGAAAGATTACAGTTTGCCCATTCATTCCAATTGACTCTTCTATTTACTTATTTAACTTTACTATCATCTCAGCCTTATTATATAGTTTAGTTTTCAGATAGACTTTTAGAAGATATCACGGGCGTAAAACTTGCAAACTCAACGTCATCCTATTTTCAGATTTTGTCTGACCGCAAAATATTTGATTCTAGAAGCCCTAAATAATGTTTTGCGTTCGTTGAGGTGTTTATGGACACTATGAATATCTAACCGAATTTGAGGAGGACAGTCCTGACATCGGTGTATATCTCGTCCACTCCCCTCTGGGCGTTGATCTTGTGCAGTTTGCCTTCCTTCTCGTAATAGGACAGAACTGGCTTGGTCTCGTTGTCGAAAGTGACCAGTCGTTTGGCGATGGTCTCCTCGTTGTCGTCCGCCCGACCACTCGTCTCCGCCCTCTTCAGAAGTCGCTCTTTCATCACCTCATTCGGCACATCAAAGAAGATGCAGGCGGCACAGGGCGCCACCTGAACACAATTAAAAATCAACATATACTTTTTATACTAAATCATAGTATGATACAAATAAAATATAACTTAGCAGGAAAGTACGTTCAAACGCATACAGTCACAATTTGAAAGGACCAATATACGAACTATTTTAATCATCATATAGCTTAAAAAAATTTAATAGTGGGAAAAAAAAGCTTGGCCTGTTGAGAAAAAAACTTGATGACACTTTTTGTAATGCAACCATTTCTTTTTCTATAAGCTAAACCTGAAATGCAACAACTTCTGAACAATGCGCATTTTTTGGAGAAAACGGCCGTTATGAGCACTGGGTTATTTTGGTGCACACTCCGCCCCCAAACATTTATAGCACCCTTCAGACATTTTTAAATAATGAATTTGCAACGCGCAAAACTGCTACCGTAAAATAGTACCAAAAGCAGGCACGCTTCTTGAAAGCATTAAGCAATTATAATTGAAATTGAATGAAGTCAACGTTTCAAAACCACCACCCCCCTTCACCATCACCCCCCTCCTTCACCCCCATCCCCCCTCTCTCATCCATTCAAGTTCCTACGCCTCATCATGTGCAATATAGTGGGTTTTCTTACCGTTTTCTCGAATTGTTCTCCCTGCTCCACTTTCCTGGGGTACCCGTCAATCAAGTAGCCCTTGCTAGTCGCCTTCTCTTTCTCCATCGCACCCTTCATCAAATCCAGCACAGTCTCAGTCGTCACCAGCTGGCCCGCCTTCATCGCCGCCTCCAGCGCCTTGCCCTTCTCCGAGCCCGAGGCCACCTCGGCTCGCAACAGGTCACCCGAGGACAAATGGGTCAGGCTGAATTCGGCTACCATCTTCTCACACTGGGTGCCCTTGCCCGAACCCGGACCCCCTACGACACAAAAGGAAACAAAAGTCAAATTAATCAGTCACGTGACATAGAACTAAAAAAAGCGGCTTTCATTTTTCAACGATATTTATTTTACGGTTATTTTTCATACGAGCTCATCAAATCAAACTTTTTTTTATTTCAAAAAATAAAGAAATATTAACAGGAAACACACTTCAAATTCAGCAGTCACTTTATATAGAACTAAGAAAAAATCATTGCCGGATCTTTCTTTTGGATATAATCTTTTCAAAAAAAAACAAGCTCAACAAATCCAATTTAATTTTTTTAATTTTAAAAATTTAAATAAAAATAAAAAAATGTTTTTTTTTTGAAGTTACAAGATCGGCTGTAGTTGTCAGCCTTTAAGTTTTCCTTAATTTTGAATTGAGAAAATGTAAATTAAGATCTAAGATGGTCTCACCCACGATGAAGAATACTGGTTGACTGACAGGTGCCATTTCTGAAACCACAAAACATTATATTTTTATCAAATTTTCTGAAATTTTTTTTAAATAATAAAACTGTGATTTTTCTTTAGAAAAATTTATCGATAAGACGTTATCTGTACTTTTTTTAATAAGTGACAATAATCGATAAGAGATAAGACGTTATATGTGTTCTGTTTCTTAGGCCTCTTAGGAAAAAAATTTATTTGAAAACGATTGTTTTTCAATTAATAAATTGAATATCGAGACCTGAACTATTGTCAATTTTGGTATCGTTTAACGTTATATTTTGATCTTGGTCTTGTTCCTGGTGGTGCTGTGAATCTTTGATGGCGTTTTTACATGTGCAATTGAATGTTTTACAATTGCATCGTTTTCCTTTGCATGAGCTCATTTGTCTTCATGGCACTTTTAGAACAATCTCCATTGTTAGCAGCAAAGGTCAAACGTCAATCATCAACTATATGCTTCAAGTGTAGCGCACTGCTTTAAGTTGCATCGAACATCTAGTATACGAGGGAGACTTTTTAGAAACCCGTGAACATTTAGGGGAGGCGGCGCGGAACTCCTTCCTTACCAAGGATTCGAGTCCATCCCACCCAAAGCGTTCTTTCATTTCGATATTATTTCACAAATCTACTTTTGACCAACTTTTGGAGCCAAAATATAGTGATTTTTAGAGGGTGGCGCACGCCTACAAACGCTTTCCAAGATCTTTCCAAAACAGCTTTTTGTCTCATTTTTGCACGCCTCGCAGACATGTTCACCTCAATTAGGTCAAAATTAATTTTAAAATTAAAATTAAAAATAATCTGGTTGTCTAAAAAATTGATATGCCCCCGGGTTGACCAAAAATTGTTATCTAAAAACTTTTCTTTCAAGAATCTTTCAACTTATAACAAAATTAGGCTCTAATATTTTTACAAGTTAAGACTTTTTCTTAAAAGAAGGTTGTAAGATAGTGATTTTTCTTACAAACAAGTTGTATGATAGGAACTTTTCTTACAAAAATTTTTTGCATGCTTCTTTTAAAAAGTTTTTTCTTATAACCATTTTAAAGTTCTCCAAACGACTCTGAAAAACCCACTAACTTTAAAAAAAAGTTAATTTATTGCTGATATACTAGAAACTTTGTCAATATATACCTGAACCCCACAGACAACATGTCGGCAGCTATATGCGGACATGATTCGTCGAGGTAACTTTTTTGTCTCCAAAACAAAATTTCAAACCGCTAATTACGAAGAATGAAGATATTGTTTGAACTGGAAAAAACTGTAATTTTTTCACTATTGATTTTTATCTGTTATTACAATATAAAAACACATTCGAAATGTTTTGGCGTTTTTTTTTGAAATTTGGAAAAAAGTTCTCATTTTAGAACTTTTCAAATAAGAAAATTGTAAGATGTAATAAGAAGTTCTAAAATAGGGGAATTTTTTGTGAAGGCCGGGCCCCCCTTACAAAAAACATAGATCTTTGACCAAAGATGGTAAGACCGGGCCCCCCTTACAAAAAACATAGATCTTTGACCAAATTAGTAGCCGATTATTTCCGACTTCTAACAAAACGCTAGTCTTTATACCTGGTTGTTTGCCGGTAAGAAGTCTCTAGAAATTGATAATCCTTTTCAAACAAAATTTTTAAATATAAAATCCAATGTAGAAACGTTTTTAGAACGCTATAGTAATTATGTTACTATCTATTAGACTTATAACACACCCCCGTGGTTTATAACATACTATATGCAAAAAGTAATTCAATAGCACACTTACCAAATGTGGTTTAAACTTATTCGCTGGTTGTAAGTAACTGGAACTAAGACAGGCTTTTGTGGAATTAATTCCAACGTAAATTCCGTTCAACGCCTGAAGAAAATGCTTGTCTGTAATCCGATGGCAACTTAGGCCGAATCGGATAATTTTTGACATGCAATTGTCGTACGCTTGTGAACAAAAAGTTTGTTGATCGAGCACTACAAACATTATTTTTGAAGAACCAAATAAGCCGAAAACCATTCAATGGAGTGCAAAAAAAACTTAGCGCAGAAATGTGATCGGCTTACAAATTACAACATTTGGATAGAAAAAGTATCCAAAAGTATGTGATCATGAAATGTTTTAGTTAGTGCCCAGATCGGCTTAATTTTACTTCGCTTTTATGGCCTGGCTTGCTTCGTCAACATGCAAATGTATGCAAAGAGGTTTACTTTGTACTCAGAAAAGAGTTTTGAGGGGGTTAAATCTGCAGAACAGGTTCAGAACGAAATTCCCGCTGTTTATTGTTGGCCTCGGAAGAAATATGTCCCGAGGTTTTAAACTCCATGTACATGTAGTAACATTTCCTCAATTCTAATGGTTCTGGATAGTAGACCAAACACAAGCCAAAATAAAGGCAACCAATTTAAGTGGAAGATGAAACGATGTGCCCCAAAACTACTTCTAAAAATGAAACCGAGCCCTGCAGATTTATTTATAAAACTCGAACTCCTAGACTTCATTTAGTATAAACCTACAGCTAATGTTGTGATCAAAAGTTAATTTATGAACACCACCCTTTTATTGAGAACATTTAATCACAAATGCTGTTAAAAGAATTGATATTGAGTATTACTGCAAGAATCTTCTAATCACAAAATCTTAACGGGATCCCTCTGACTGCGAATATTTTTACTTGAGCAGAACTTTTTTGCTTTTTAAATTCAAACAGGAAAAAAAGCAAATTACTATCGAATAATGATGGGCAATGCTTAATCCATAACTCACCGTTTCGAATTGCGAGTTCAATAGAATAGTTTTTTTCAAGTCAATATGAAACATTTTGCAATTCAGCTGAATTTTTGCAATACCGGATATAATCGTACGATTTTAATAATTGTATTGTCTAACTTTTATTCTGACGCTTTTCTTTTCTGGATTTGCTGATGCTGCAGTCATTAAAGTTGATACTATAAACTTTTTCATTATTGAAATTACACAATTTTTTTTAAGTGCTTAGCTAGTTTGCATTTGAATTTGATAACTACTTTTGCTAGAAATTAACGAAACGGTTAAAAATGTTTAGGCTAAAATTAGTGAACGATCAATTTTCTTAAAGGTTTTTACATCGCCCAGGATTCCAACCAGTTTTTGGGACAAAACTTCTACGGTTGACAGAAACTTTTTTTCTTAATATAGAAAAGCTCAAAAACAGCTTTTTAAAAAACAGCTGCTTTCAAAAAAATACTGATGTCGAACTTTCAGTTACTTTGCGCATGAACCAGATACACAGGATTTTGATAAACTTTATTTAAAAATAAAACGGCCCGATTACAAAACAAAAGTTTTTAATAGCAAAAAAACTGATCCAAAATAGGAAATAGGACACTTTTAGTCCAAGAAGCAAGAAAAAAAGAAATTGACGTTGATACTTTTTTTTCGTCTAGTTAACCTTCAACCCAAATATGGAGCTGGAGTTGTATTTTATATGCTTGAGTTTGTTTTTTTTCAAGCGATTTAATAAACAAAACTATAGTTATTTTGTAAATACTTTTGTTTAAAGTTAAAACTACTCAATCACAATTTTAAAGAATTCTATTTATGTTTAATGCCTACAGAGCAATATCATTCTGGATGGAGTCGACGCTAATATTAACTAAATTAAAAAAAAAATTCTGGGAGTATGATTAAAATAAAAGAAAAAGCAATTTGAAAAGCAGAAAAAAAGCAGAAAAAGCAGAAAAAAACTACACGGCTCAACTTTACAGTAACCAAAAAGATTTTTAAAAACGAACTTACTTGTCCGAAAACAATTTGCAAGCAATGATGATAGATTTTTGACTCAGGATAAAAATCAAAGAGAGTTGCTACGCTGTGTTTTTAGAAATTTTTAAATACCAGTAGTTTTAGCGCAATTTTATCCTTGCTACTGCTATTTTTATCCAATTTTTAATTTTATCCTATTTTTAATCATTTGAGGCAAGAAATAATTGGTCTCAAGAAAACTTTACTGGATAAGTTTCTCAATTGTAGTTCCAGACGCAATTTCTCGAAATTGAAGATCGAAAACGAACAAAAACGCTAAACTCAAGGCAAAGCTCTGAATGCTCACACATGCCTTTGAATCTCTTTGAAATAGTGTTTGATTTTCAAGAAAGAACAGTTAAAATATTTTTTAGAGAATTTTTCAAAAATCATCCTCCACACGCTATGGTTTATAAAATGAAAAAATTTGCCATAAGCGAAGTAGAAAACTAACAAAATAGCATATCTCAATTCATTTTGGAACGAATTCTCAATCGCTAACGCGGATTGAATCTCCGCTCACGCGTTATTAGTACGAATTAAATCATGCATTATTGTTCCCAAAATGGCTATAATTGGGAATTTTTAAACCCCCATAACTTAACGAAAAGAGATCACAGGTAGAATATCTTTTACGATTCGCGCTCCGGACAACAATATGTTGATTTCAGATGATTTAGAAAAATTCGACCAAAAATGGCTGAGAAAAAAATCGAAGCTTGTCTGGAGAAAAACACCACCCGAGCACAAATATTCCGCAACTTTCTTCAAAACTTGTTACAAAAACTAAATTGAAGATGTCAAAAGGTATGAGAAATATGCGTGGTGAACTGATTACATTCGTTTTGCGTAATAGCATGCAAAACTTTGGGTGTTTTTACTTATTCCGTTCAAAAATCATTATGTCAACATCTTGAACTGAAATTGTTTTTTATTCAATCTGATTGGTTGATTGGTTAGAGTTAGCCAATCAATTTGCAGCTCCAAATCAAAATGTTTTGTTCACAATTTTTAAATTGAATTTCAAGAAAAACCAAATTAGATAGATGTTATGATAATGTTTTCAATTTTACTATAAAAAAGGCTCCAGAATTTTACCACGACCAGAAAAAAAACACGGAAAATAGCTCCAGGAAAAAATCATCACTTTCAAATCTGCTTAAAATTCAGCCTTTGCATATAGTGATAGCATATGAAGTAACTCGAGCCATTCAATGCAATGAGAGTTTTGT